ATGTTAGGAGTCAGCCAACTCCTGAGTTACATGAAAAAAAGGACACATAACCTAGATCTTAAAAATATATGAAAAATTTTAATATATGAAACTCAAATATGTAAAACAATTCAAAAGACAATCAGGAAACTGTAAATCCTGATCAGAAGTAATTGATTTTACTAAGGCATTGTTAAGAATTTTTCTAGGTACCATAATGGTATTGTGTTAAAAAGCATCCTTATCTTTTAGAAGGATATATTAAACTGTTTACAGATAAAATGTATTGGATTTGCTTAAAAATTAGGGTAAGGAGGCAGTAGCTGGGAATACAGATGAAATAGGATTGTGTATGAATTGAAGCTAACTGAGAGTACATGGGAGTTTATATATCTCCCCCACCTCCCCCCAACACCCACCTGCAGTGATGGGGATTGAACCAGGGCTTTGCATGTAAGAAGAAAGAGAACAGTCAGGAGGGACATATGGGCAAGTTTTCTCCCACTGAGACATATCCATAGCCCTTTAAAATTGTTTTTTAAATTTCAAAACAGGATATAAGTTGCTCAGGGCCTTGCTAACTTGCTGAGGCTGGCCTCAAATTTGTGATCCTCTGTCTCAGCCTCCCGAGTTGCTGAGATTACATAAATGCTCCACTATGCCTGGCTTCCATTATTAACATATTGATAAATATTATGTGTAAGTAATCACAGAAGTAATTTACATAAATAAGATCACTGTAAAAGTCAATGGATGGATAATTTATAAAAAGAAAGGTTTATTTTGACTCATAATTCTGGGCCAAGATTGAGGGTCTGCATCTGGTGACTGCCTTTGTGCTGGCAGTCTCAAGATGGCATAGTGCATCATATGTCCCTCCTGACTGCTCTTTCTATTTTACATAACCACTAGTATTCGTTCAATCATGGGAGCTTTACCCTGATGATCTTTTCTAATTCTAATCATATCCCTAAAACCTTACCTCTAAACACCACTGTTGGATTGAGTTTCTATTCTCTTAATACCTCACAATGGAGATTTAATTTCAACACAGGAATCCTTGGGGGACATACACATACCATATTCAAACCATAGCAACAAACAAACAAAACCCGAAAACTCCCCAAACCAAAAAACCCCATGTTTTTTCACACAAAAGTTCTTATTTATAAGCCTGTTAAGTCATTTCCAATTTTAAACTAATATTGTAATGAACATTTTACATTTTGTGATTCTGCCTTTGGATAAATTCCTAGGTGTATCTCTGCTGTTCAAAGGTATGTATATTTAACATTTTGATATATGTTGTTAAATTGTACTTCAGAAAGACTGAATCTATTTTTGTTTTTGAAAGTTAAATCCAGGGACACTCTATTACCAGGCAACACCCCAGGCTCTCCGTCTTAAAAAAAAAATTTTTTTTAAATCCTCCTTCCTTAGTCTCCTAAACTGCTGGGATTATAGGTGTGTGCTACTGTGCTCAGCCAGCCTCATTTATTATTTTTTATTATTAAAGTGCTATTTTAAAAATGTAGCTTGGTGCAGGCCTGTAATCTGAAGTCTTGGGAGGCTGAGACAGGAAGATCTCAGCAACTTAGCAAAACCCTAAGCAATTTAGTGAGACTCTGCCTCAAAATAAAAAAAAAAAATAAAAATGGCTGGTGATGTGGTTCAGTGGTTAAGTACCCTGGGTTAAATCCCCAGTACCCTCCACTTCAGATGTAAACATTATACACAGAATTGAACATTTTTGTAATTATTTTTTTGTACTGAGGATTGAATCCAGGCTATATCTCCAGCCCATTTTAAAAATTTGATTTTGATACAATCTATCAACAAATATATGAAAAAATGTTCAACATCACTAGCAATTAGAGAAATGCAAATCAAAACTACATTGAGATTCCATCTTACTCCAGTCAGAATGGCAATTATCAAGAATACAAGCAACAACAAGATTTGGCGAGGATGTGGGGAAAAAAGGTACACTCATACACTGCTGGTGGAACTGCAAATTGATGAAACCACTCTGGAAAGCAGTATGGAGATTCCTCAGAAAACTTGAAATGAACCCACCATTTGACCCAGTTATCCCACTCCTCAGTTTATCCCAAAGAACTTAAAATCAGCATACTTTGCTGACAGTCACATCAATGTTTATAGCAGCTCAATTCACAATAGCTAAACTATGGAGCCAACCTAGGTGCCCTTCAACAGATGGATAAAGAAACTGTGGTATATATACAAAATGAAATATTACTCATCCTTAAAAATGAAATTATGGTATTTGCTGATAATTGGGTGGAACTGGAGAATGTTATGCTAAGTGAAATAAACCAATCCCAAAGAACCAAAGGCTAAATGTTTCCTCTGGTATGCAGATGCTAATTCACAATAAGGGGCAGGTGGGAAACAGAGGTAATTTGAATAGAGGGGAGTGAAGGGAGGATAAGGGGCACGGGGTGTGTGTGTGTGTGTGTGTGTGTGTGTGTGTGTGTAGAAATGATAGTAGAAGGTATTGGACATTATTACCCTATGCGCATGTATGATTACATGACCTGTGTAACTTTACATCATGTATAACAAGATAAATAAGAAGTTATACTCCATTTATGTATGATGTGTCAAAATGCATTCTACTCTCATGTACAACTAATTAGAACAAATGAAAAATAAAAACAAAAAAAAATTTTATTTTGAGACAGGGTCTTGTGAATTGCCTGCTGGCCTTAAACTTGCAATTCTCCTACCTCAGTCTCCTGAGTAGCTGGGATTACAGGCGCACCATTGCACCCAGCCATTTTTTGTAATTTTAACCCCAAAGAAAAATACCATTAATCCTTTTGTTTGTACTAACATATACTATACAAAGGAATTATATTATGCATTTTTTAAAGAATTGTTTTCTTAAAACTTAATGCATCTTACGTATTCTCTCTTGTAAATATACAGAATTCTACCACATTTTTTTAACAGTTGTTGGTACTGAACTACATGTATCAGTTTTTCTCAGGCTGTTTTATTATTTTTATCTCCATAAGGAGAATTTTTAGATGTTTCTTCCTTAATCACTTCCCTATAAAGTTCAAATACCACATACATACTGTTTATGTTTATGTACTTTATGAATACTTATGCTTTATAAAAAAACAAGTTGTTTTTTTGTTTCAAGAATCAATTTTCACCCCTGAACATTATATCTATGATATAGATGTTTCAAACCTTAAGTTTTTCCACATGTACTATGTTTGATATTCTAATGCTATATTGTTAATACTTATCTTTATAAATATTTTGTTTCTGTAGGATAAATTTCTAGAATTGAAAATTGTATTAAAAGATATTTAAAAATTTCTTCAATACTGCTAAGTATTCTAATACTATTTTTCAGCATAGCAAAAGTTATCTTGGGGTCATAAAGATAAATATAAAAATAAAATAGGTTATTGAACATGAAAACATATTGAGAGAGATTAAATAACTGGCATTGAACAACATTGAGAATCAGACTTCAACTTTTACATTTAAGTAATAAATCCATTCACAATTTATTCTGTAATGATGACTAAAGTGAGGATTTAATTATTTTCTCTCTTAAATCTAGCTAATTGGCCTTAAACACTTAATTTACCGTATATTAAATATGGTGAGCTAGGCATGGTGGCACACATCTGTTATCCTAGTTACTTGGGAGGCTAAGGCAGGACAATTCTAAGATTGAGGCCAGACATGGATTAATACAGTGAGAACTGAAGAATATAGAGTACATTACAGAGTAATACATTTAAGACAAGACACAGCAGAAAAAGAAATGATTTAATAATGCACAGCTCTGTTTTCAGATGTTTTGAGTAGTAAATGACAAAAAACTATGTAAAATCTAAGTTTAAGTATAAAAGAGAGTTTATTGGCTCATTTAATTGGGAAGTCCAGTGGTAAAGCTAGTTTTTAGGCATGTGTGGATCCTTGGGCTCAGACAATAGGTTATTGAACATGAAAACATATTGAGAGAGATTAAATAAATATCTGGCATTGAACAGCATTTATGAGATAATGCTGATTCTTGACAAATGACTTCCTTCAGTTTTTTGGATTTCATTGATGTTGAATTCTCTAAAATCTTGCTTTATAAATTCATTATGTTTTACACATAATCTCTCCTAGCTTTTCCCCCTAAAAAAAAATCAATAAGCCTCTCAGTACTGCTCTTTTCAGCTCCTCTCCTAATATTCATTGAACAACTAAAAATTGTTTAAAGTTATGATTGTCTTAATCACTAAATGCAGTGGTCTTGGATCCTCCTTGATGACTTGTTGTTTCTGTAGTATTAGTGCTGACTGACCTTTCCCTCTTGTCACCTGGATTCTTAGTTGCTGTGAAATTCATTCTTCTGATGTTTCTCTTTCTGATGACTTCTTCCCTGTTTACTTTGTCCATTCCTCCTTACCTTCTTTATATGGGGGTGATTCTCAAGGTTCTGGCTTCAAACTGTTTCTCTATTCATTCTTCTTGGCAATCTCAAATACTTCTCTCTCTTTTTTTTTGATGCATGGTAGGGGGATTAAATCCAAGAGATCTCTACCACTGAGCCATATCATCAGCCCTTTTTAATATTTTATTTATAGACAGAGTCTCACTAAGTTACTAAGTGCCTTGCTAAATTGCTGAGGCTGGCTTCAGCCTCCTGAGCTACTGGGATTACAGGCATGCACCACCACGCCCAGCCAGCCCTTTTTATTTTTTGAGACAGAGTCTTGCTAAATTACCCATGGTGGTCTTGAATTCAGAAGCTCCTGCCTAGGCCTCCTGAGAAGCTGGGATTATAGGTAAGTACCACCACACCCAGCATTATAAGCTTCTCTAATTAAATCCTGCATTTCCTATACTACAAAGCACTTTGTCTTGTATTTTCATTTGTTAATTCAACATACATCAAGTACCAGATGCTGGGTAAGTGGTGAAAAAATGTGTTTTCTGCTCTCATAGGGTTTTAAATTCCATAAAATAACAAATTCATAATGTGATATATGTCTAATAAAACTTTATTGAAAGAGTGAGTCTTACATCTTTGAATTTTCTTTCATCTTTTCTTTCCAGACTTCTGTTTTACATTCTTGTATCCGTTCTCCAGATAAATCCCACAGAGTTCTGAAATTCAATAGTTAAATTTGGACACACAAATTAAATTTGTGGACACACATTAATGATAAATTTTCCCCATGCTCAACATATCCTCATTACCTAGGGTATATCTTGGTCCTTTTTAATTTTTTCCTCTCTCTTCATATTTAATTCTTTTAACTTAAACACTTATCACTCTTGTTTAGGCCTTTTCACCTTTGGTAAAAGTTTAAAATTTGTTTGTTCTGTACAATATTCTTTAAAATATGACTTTCCTGTTTCTCCTGAAAAATCAGAAAATCTGACAAATACTATGTCTTTCTGTGAGAATGGACTGAAGTTTTAGATGGAACATTTAAACTCAGCCATAATCCTATCACTCCTTATTTTTCTTATATGTAGTCCATTTCCTCATTTATGAAACCTTTTTAGTCCCTAATTTAGGGACATGCAGTTTCTGGTCTAGATGATCACAGAATTAGTTCTGAAAGGGATATTAAGAGTTATAATCTTATGCCCTTTACCCAATCATTTTTTTGGGGGGTGAAACTAGGGGTTGAACCCAGTGGTGCTTTACCACTGAGCTACATTCTCATCCTTATTTTTTGAGACAGGCTATCACTAAGTTGCCTGGGCTGCCCTCAAACTTGCAATCCTCCTGCCTCAGCCTCCTGAGTTACTGGGATTACAGACAGGCATGGCCACCATGCCTGGTTTACTCAGTTTTATAAAGGATTCTATTATATGCAATTGGACCTCCCACTCCACCTGGCTGGGTTAAGACTCCAGTCTAGTTTCACTGTCAAATCTGTCACCCATAGCTTTCATATAGAATTTTCAGGTTCAAGATCTTTGTGCTTAAAACTCTGCTTTTTAGGTACCATATGCCTAAAGAATGAGGTGTTTATCAGGTAAGCTATACCCTACACAAGCCAACTTTCTGTGAAGTTCTGGATTATGGTTCTTTTTTTGGGGGTGGGTTGGAATGGTGGCTGGGGATTGAACCCAGGGGCACTCTACCACCAGGCTATACCCCCAGTCCTTTTTTATTTTTTTGACAGGGTCTCTATAAATTGCTTAGGTGGGCCTTGAATTTGTGAGCATACTGTCTCAGCCCTACAAGATTATGATTCTTTCTTTTTTTTTTTTCAGTTAGATAAACAAAAGTTTATAATATACTTTGCCACCTACCACGTACTTATACTTAGGGCTTATATCATCCACTTTATTTCTTTTAAGGAACACCTAGGGAATGTTAATAAGATTTCTTTAAAATACATAGAAATATGCATAGGAGAAAAGTGCACCTTAAAATATTGGGAAAATATCTAATATTTAATGTGTTTGAAAAATCATCTTGAGTCAAAAATAGTCCTGTGATTGAAAAGATTAGTAAATATTGGTACATTTCAAGGAAATGTACCTACAATACTTGAAATTTAAGGTAGGAAAAAAACCTACAATACTTGAAAATTACATAATATCTAATAATTCTTATGCAGTATTATTTAAAAATAAAAAAAGACAAACAATAAAATATTAAATAGTCTCAAGAATAGAAAGTTCATACAAATGCATGCGTGCACACACACACACACGACATAAATGGAAGTTCCTAATAGTGATGAATTCTGATTTTTTGGGGAAGTACTGGGGATTGAACTCAGGAGCACTTGACCACTGAGCCACATCCCCAGCCCTATTCTGTATTTTATTTAGAGACAGGGTCTCACTGAGTTGCTTATCATATTGCTTTTGCTAAGACTGGCTTTGAACTCAAAATCCTCCTGCCTCAGCCTCCTGATCTGCTAGGATTACAGGCCTGTGCCATTGCATCTGGCTGAATTCTGATTTTAATAAGTGTTGTGCATAATTAAATATTCTAAGAAACAATTTTTCTATTAAATTGGTAAAAAATCCAATGACTTTATAGTATATTCTGCCAAAGATTATGATTCTTTTTTTTTTTTTTTGTGGAACCAGGTATTAAACCCAGGGCTCTCAACCACTGAACCACATCCCCAGCCCTTTTTATATTTTATTTTTGAGACAGGGTCTTGCTAAGTTAATTAGGGTGTTGCTAAGGCTGGCTTTGAACTTGAGATCCTTCTGCCTCAGCCTCTGGAGTTGGTAGGATTACAGGTATGTGCTACCATGCCCAGCTGATTATGATTCTTAATAGCTTAAACCAATAAGTCTGTGTGAGAAAGATTACTAGGTTGACATTGTTACAATGTCCTTAAAAATATGTCCCCAATCTTTTTAGCTTTATTCTCCTGTGTTCACCTGCATATATGCCATATTACTGAGATTTTTGTGAGGATATGTGTGCTGTATCCAAAACATAACCTATGCTTTTCCCAGTTTTTGATTCCATTTACTGCTCTTTTCTCTACCTCAGTTATCTTTCCCCAGTCTCTACTTGGCAAATCTACTGGAATGCTATCTCTTAAAAATAGTAGTTAAGAAAGTGGTGGATGGAATAGACTTGCTTAGAAATCTTGGTTCTTTCCTTTAGCAACCAGCTGATCTTGGACAATTTATCTAATCTTGGTAAATGTCTAGTTCTTCATCTGTAAAATGGGATAGTATCCCCATTTTACAAATGGTTGTTTTGAGAATTAAAATGAACTAATGAATTAAAGAGCTGAGCATTGTATAGGCATATTACATGCAAGAAATGACAACCATAAATATTACCTTACTGATTGAAAGTTTTTATGTACTGTAAAATCCCATCTCACTTTTTTTGACTAAAATACTGTTATTCAAATTAGTTACTCTAGTATTTATCATACTACCTATTCATCATATTATACATATAATAGTTGACATCAGGGACTTTGTCTTACATGTGTTTTAATTTTTCACAGTACTTGCAATTACTTAGTTAATTGATGATTGTAACCTTTCTTGAGATGTTCCTAAGTTACAACAGTAACAGATGAATCTTGTATTACTTCCTTATGAGAACCTTGTGATTTTTTTTTAAGTGCTAGAGACTGAACCCACGGCCTTGCACACAATACACAAATACTCTACCATTGAACTATGCCCCCGGCCTCTGGGAGAAAAATTTTGCAAAAAAGAAAAACCTTATGGGCCACATCAAAGTATATTTTCCTTTTGTTTTAGCTGTTAGGATCCTTAAGAGTTCAATTTGTGCTACCCCTTTGGTACTTACACAGGAACTTTTGGCATGAGTTTTTGGGAGTATAATATATGCCTGGCTTTATTTTGTTTTCCAATTATCTTCTGTCAATCATTTTCTCCTATTTTAGTGTATATCTTTTTCTAAGCATGTCAGTCTTTTGTGAGAGACATGGGTCATCAACAAATAATACAGATCCATAAAACATTTATAATAGTTATTAGAGCTGGTTAAAGCTTTTTATTTCATTTGATTTCCTGTTTCATAGAAAGTCTGTCATCTATTTCAAGGCAGGATCAATTCCCAACTTTCTGCCCCAAAATGCTTATCTGCATCTTTTAAAGAACATTATTTGTCCTAACAAAATATATTCATTGATTAAAACACAGATAAACAAAAAGCAGAAGAGCTATAAGACACTGTGTGGTAAGAACCATTCTACACACTGATTTCATACCCACTTTTCTCTCTAATCAGTGTATCTCATAAGCCTTTTCTTATAGTCTTCTACATCATCATTTCTAAAAAATATTTTTTAGTTATAGGTGGACACAGTATCTTTATTTTTATGTGGTGCTGAGGATCGAACCCAGTGCCTCATGCATACTAGGCAAGTGCTCTACCTCTGAGCCACAACCCTAGCCCTACATCATCATTTTTCCATGGTTCAAAGCATCCCACTGACTGTGTACTAGAGTAGCAATGAGATTGCATCTCCACAGAAATATCAAGGATACTCTTACTTAAACTAATGTGAGTGAACTTCTCTTATCTGAAACTATCATGTTTAAGGAGTATGGGTATAAAATATTTAATCTGTCTTTTGTTGGCAGACAATGCTGCAATGAACTCTACACAGCTCAATATATATTTTCAATTTTGATTATTTTGAGAAGTTCCTACAAGTATACTTACTTGTCTCAGTATGTACACATTTTAAGGATTTTGATAGCTCTAAAATTCCTGGGGGTATCAATTTCTGTTCCCACCTGCAATGCCTGTTCCACTGAATCCTTGCCCAATACACATTTTCTTTTTAATCTCTGACAATTTAACAGGCACTTAATGTGACATTTACATTTACTAATAATTCAGCTTGATATGTGCATCTATAGCTCTTGTGTGTGCATATTTGTGTTTCTTTTTTGAGACAAGGTCTTACTATGTTGACCAGTGCCCTGTTGGTCTCAAACTTGTGGAATCAAGTGATCCTGACTCTCATCCTCCCAAGTAGCTGGGACTACACCACTACACCAGACTATATTTTGATATATTTTTGTTACTCTTTTGCCAATTTGTAATAGTTCTTTAATTCTGAACAGTCATGCCCACTTTGACATCCTCCTACCAAGTTCTATCTCCAATCAATTTATGTACTTGATCTATGGATCTCATTTCCTCTTGTTTATATATATATTTAGTTGTTAATGGACCTTTATTTTATTTGCTTATTTATATGTGATGCTGGGAATCAAACCCATTGCCTCACACATATGAGGCAAGCTCTCTACCGCTGAGCTACAACTCCAGCTCCTCCTCTTGTTTCTTTAGGGAGTTAGTCAGTCAGTTATCCTCCTTTTTGGCAGTATCTAATCTCTTCCAGGTTACCAATTTTTTTCCTCTTGTATTAATACACATCAGTAAGTCTCTTTCCTATTCGGGAAAATTTCAACTTCTTTCTTTCACTTGCCATTCTCCTCTGGCTACTAACCTTCTCTCTTTTCCTTTACAGCCAAACTTCTTGAAAGAATTGTCTTCACATTCTGCATCCAAACTCACTGCGAACAGATTTACATTAAGGCCTCAATACCTTCTTGTTGCTAAGATTTTTAACATCACAATTAATATCATTCATAGATTGAAAAAAGCAAAATGGTTTTCGCCAAGTCAATTTGACTATGTAAAAAAACAAACAAACAAAAAACAAACCTTAGGCAGAAAACAAAAATTGACAGGTAATACATTAAAAATTTAAGCTACTTCTGATAGCTGGATTACTGATAAATTATTTTTTTCTTTTTAAAAATTTCCATAGTTACAAAAACAAGAATAACTTACTTTCACATTAAAACACATTATGATGTAGTTTAGAAATTCTCAACTCACTTTCTAAAAGGAAGCGGAAAACTAGAGAAAGGACAGGGAGAAGCCACTGGACTGCACTTCATTTCGCCTCAATACTCAAAAGAGGGCGCGACCCAGATTCCCACGTCCAGCACTCCCGCGGTGAAACGCGACCCGGTAACCTCCCGATTGGATGATCTTCTTTGAGGAGGGCTCTCTTGGCCCTTTTGCTCATCCCTAAAGACCTCTGAGCATCCCAACCTTTTCTGCCAAACGCTCCAAACCGCAGACAACTGTCAGTTGCCTCCGGTTGCCCTGGTAACACCCACAACCCCACTCCCGCCTTCTTAACTTTTCCCAGAATGCCGCACGCCTTCTCGCTCACTCACTTCCGGGGTCGGAGGCGTGACTTCTTCCGGAAGTAGATGCCTGTTGGTCTTCCGGGGGCGATTCCTGGAGGGCTGGGGTTATTATAAGGTGGAGTCGTGGCGTATTCGTAGGAAGGGCGGCGGGGTATGTTTTCTTTCCTGACGTTGAAAGTGACTGGAAAGATAAGGAAACGTAATAATCTTTCGGAATTTTGTTGACTCAAGTGGGTTAGGTGTTAGTTATTTTTAAAAAGTGCATATTTTAATTAGTTTGATTTAACCATTCCAAAGTGCATATTTTAATTAGTTTGATTTAACCATTCCACAGTGTATGTATATTTCAAAATATGTCGAACACTATATGTGCACTTTTTGTCAATTGAAAATGAGTTGAAACAGCATTAAATGTTAAAAAGCTGGAAGAGGGTAAACACTTTAAAACTATATGTAACTTCATTTGTTAATGAGATAGAATTGAACAACTTAATTTCCTATAAAAAGCATTTATTTTTGCTTTAGAAAATGAGGACCAAATAAACACTGAATTGTACTGAATATGCCATGCTTTTCCCAGCAGTTTTACGACATCATAAATATTTTTGTGTCTTATATTACTAATGAGTTCCATAAAAGAATTTTTAGTCCACAAACATCATTTGTTCAGCATTCTCCTTTTGGCAACAGTAATTAGAATTTTTATAGGACTTTGCTAAAGTACTTCATGGTTGAATAGCTATTTTTAAAATATTAAAACAAACAAACAAACAAATGAGGGCAAGCACTGGCGCCATGGTGGTGCACTCCTGTACACCCAGCTACTCGGGAGGCTGAACTGGATGGCCAGCCTGTGTAATTTAGCTAGACCTATTTTGAAATAAAAAGAAATGGCCAGGGGATATAGCTCAGTGAGAGAGTCCCTGGGTTCAATCCCCCAGTACTTGGCGGGGGGGGGGGGGGGGGGTGGTCAGATAAGAAAATGAAGACAACAAAACAAAACAAAAACCCTAACACAAGACCTTTAAATCTCATCAACTTAGAGACAACCGCTGCAAACACTATGGAGTTTTCCACTACTATGCATATAGTAACTAAAAATTGAAAAGGCAATCACACTGTATGTACTGTTTGTAACTTGAAAAGCTTTTAATGACCGTATTTTATTAAAAGGCACTCGTTTACATTATACTTCTTATTGGACATTTGAGCATTTCTGTCCTTTTTTTTGTTTTACTTAGTGCTACCATGGAGAAATGAAAAGTTTTATAGCTAAATCTGCCCACACTCTCATTTCTTAGTGGTAATTATTTTTGTCTTTTAAACTCATTTGTAATTTGTACTTTCTTCTCTGATGCCTTCTCATTCCACCTGTGTGTCCTTTTACTGTATGTGGATGAAGCTGGACATTTGGCATCCAAAGCCCACTCAAGTCTGGCACGGTGGCTCAGGCCTGTAATCCCAGTGACTCAGAAGGCTAAGGCAGGAGGACCACAAGTTGGAGGCCAACCTCAGCAGTTTGGGCCCTAAGCAACCCTATCTAAAAAAAATAAAAAGGGCTGGGGATATGGCTCAGTGGTAAAGTGCCTCTGGGTTGAATCCCCAGTACCAAAGCAAACAAACAAAAACCAAAACCACCAACACCCCCCCCCCCCACTAATTAGAAAAACATTTTTATGCTTATAATAGAATTGAGGAAAATTCAGAATAATATAATAAAAATTTTAATACTTATATGACCACTGGTATTTTGGTATAATTTTTTACTCTGTTACTTTAGCAGTGAGTATTGAAAAGTGCTAATTTGGTAGGGAAATTTAGTGGCTCTTAATTTGCATGTTTTGCTTATTCATGTAGCTGGATAATCTTTTAAATAGTATTTCAAATGTTTACAGCTATAGTCCATTTTAGGCCCTACATTCTCTTTCCTTCAATATTCCAGGTTAATCACACTGAATTGTAATGATTTAATTTTCTGTATGTGTGTGTTTTAGTTCTATAACAGGATTGAAAAGTGGTTGTGTGGTCCTAGATAAATTATTTTATTTTACAAAGGGAAGTACCCTTACCTGCAAATTAGAGATAATATTACATATTTTTGAAGAGTTGTAGCGAGAATTAGAAATAATGTATCCAAGGTGAGCTCAATAAACAGTATCTACTTTTTCTTTTTACTTATAGCTTCAGAAGTCTGTTCATAAGCGGTGTTCATGTTTTTATAATATTTTAAATGTGAGTAATGTTAGCATCCCACTAAATTTAGATATTCACTGAGCAACTATGACACAAGGCACTGTTTATAATTCTCAAGGCCTTGTGACCCTATATTATTTAGATATATTTCCTGTGTAAGTCTTAAACTGCTCCTCACTTTCACCAGTTTTATTCATCTTTGTTTCCTTAGGGGGATCCTCTCCTCTCTCCTTCCCTCCTTTCTCCTCCCCTCTCTTCTCTTCTACCTTGGGTAGCTTACCATGGGGTGCTTTCCTACTGAGTTACATCCCCATCCTTTTATTTTGACACAGGGCCTCATAGAGTTGCCCCAGCTGGCCTCTATTTGCAGTCCTCCTGCCTCGGGCTCCAGAATACCTAGGATTACAGAAGTGTGCTCCTACACCCAGGTTGTTTCCTCAGGCTCTCCATTCTGCCAGGACCATTGTAGTGGCGTTGAATAAATGTGTGAGCTGAGCTGAATAATTTAACGGGAAAAGAAAAACACACAAATTAGATAAAACCTGGCTTGTTGTGATGAAAGCAGTAACAGTATGAAGTACTTTGTACTTTGGGAGTTCTGGAGACATTAACTTAGATTAATGTCTAAGACATGTTTTGACCTGGGCTTTAAATCATGGGGACTTAAAAAAAAAAAGGGCTTAAAAATAGGAGTAACAAGATGAGTTCGGGCTTGGAGGTAGAAGTAAACAGCGTTTTGTTATCGCAGAGTTATTTGGGGTGGCGAGAGAGTAGGGTAGACGAATGGGTCCAGATGAGCCAGAAAAAAAGGAGTTGGGTTCCATATCTTGAGACTTTTGATGTGACAAATCATTCTTTGGAATCAAATGTTTGAAAATCAAGATTTTCAAACGCTCCTGAAAGGCACTGTTTTCAATATGGTCTGGGCATAGTTTGGTAGAGTGGATCAGAGGGACCGCAGGAGTCAGAAAACGTGGACAAGAGATAGCAACTGGCCTTTCCTTGGGCAAGGTAGGGAGTGGGAGGATTCGTAGAGGCCTTCAGCGGTAGAAAGGGACTTAGTGACCAGTGTTGGCCAGGAAGAGAGGAAGGAGGCAACAGAAAACTTCATAAAGGTGCTTTTGGGGACCAGCCACCTACACCGAGGGGCAACTGCGAATCGTGAATATCCCGAGTGCTGCCTGGGAGGGCAGCAGTCAGTCCCAGCTCCGCCCACCTGTACTAACCTCTGGCCGTGCGTAGGGCCTCTCGCCCCGCCCAGAGGCTGTAGCCACGCCCCGCTCGGCGTCCCTATCCGGGCTCAGCAACCCTGCAGCCCAACGTCCACCGTCCTGCTTAGCTGCTGGTTGGCTCTGGGGAGGAGGGGCCCGGACCGTGGGGTTGGTGGGAGCGAGGTTACCTTTTCCTGTATCACACCGGAGTTGGATCTGGAGGAAGCTGCTGCAAAGTCTGCAGCGGCATGGCGGGAGCTCCGGACCAGCGCCAAACTGGCCCCGCAGCAGGGGAGCAGCTGCAGCAGCCCCAAGTCTCGTGCCAAGTCTTCCCGGAACGGCTGGCCCAGGGGAATCCCCAACAAGGGTTCTTTTCCAGCTTCATCACTCATAACCAGAAGTGCCAGCAAATGCTCCTGAAGACGGTGGAAACAAGTAGGAGCAGTAACCTGGAGGCTGGGGGTCTGCGGGGTGGTGTCTGACACCGGTGGGCGAGGAGGGGCCTGGACCCTTCTCAGCCGGGGAGCTCTGGTTCAGCCTCAGTCGCTGCCGGTTTCAGGCACCTCTGCGCAGAGTTTAGGAAGATCTAGCATCTTGAGGGCGGAGACGGGGGCCCAGACCTTAATTTCCACATCAGAGGAGGTGCTGAGTGAGGCCTCGTTTAGCACTACTGTTGCTTGTGGGATGAACAAAAAGTTGGGCTAGGAGTTTGCCCTTTTTGGTCAAGTTCAGTGATTTCTTATATAAGTTATGAAGTAACAGGGAGACTTTATGGTCAGGGTGAGGTGGGGTTTAAAAGAGCCCCGTTAATTAAGGCATTCTTTTTAAAAAAATTTTTTTTTTATTATTGGTTGTTCAAAACATTACAAAGTTCTTGACATATCATATTTCATACATTTGATTCAAGTGGGTTATGAACTCCCATTTTTACCCTGTATACAGATTGTTGTTGGCAGTGCAAAACCAGTTTTGCAAACCTGCTCTTCATTGTGAGGGTTTCTTAACTTCATGCATTGGTGGGCTACCACGCATAGAAACCTTGAAAAATTGTGTGTATATACACCTACATGAAGTTTTTTCGGGAGAAAGTTCATAGTTTCATCACATTCTCAAAGAGGCTCATGGATTCAAAAAGATTAAGAACTACTGCTGTGGATTAAATAGGGAGACCCACTGATGCATGTCTCTCAGTCCCAGAGATATTGCACTAGAGAAGATTTCTTAACTCCTTTGCATTGAAATAGACTTCCTAAGTCTACTTAAGATAGGTTTAGTAAAGTTTTAAACATACTTGTCCTATAGCAAGGTTACTGTTAAACAGCTGGCCAGTCAAAAGTAGACTTCCCAAAGATTTTCCAGCCTTTGGATTACTTGCATATAGTGAATCAAAGGAGATGGGAGGATGAAAGGAAGGGAATGATAATGACATTATATTTACTTTATAAATGTGAACTGAATGCTTCCTAGGATGTGTGGGAAGAAATACAAAGATGAGTAAGTTCCCTACCTTTAAGACATTTACAAGTGGAATATAGTGGAAAGAACCTGGGCAGTAAAGTTAAATATGAGTTCAAATTCTGGTCTTTCTTTTTAGTTTGTATGGAAGAGTGACTTA